CGGGGCACGAACTGCTGGAGGCCTGGGTGTCAGATCCTAACTCCATAAACAGGCCCTGCTATTTTGCCATCCGTGCCCGTGACCAGAAACCAGGGCCTAGTTCCTCTACAAGCATACAGGCTGCCACGTCAGGGTCACACGGCAGAACTCCAGAGACGCGTGTAGGAGACACACGATAAGACAGCGTGAGAATGGACTTCGCGTGGACATGGAACAATCAATAACTGCCACCACCCCCCCCTCCCCTACCAACCCCATTTATGCGTAGCTGACTTTTACTCTGACGATGTCTTCTCGTGTGGAGCCGAAAGCTCAGCATAAAACTATCGTTCCAGAGATTGCGTCTTCCTCTTCTTTATACTAAACTATCTACACAACTATCATCCCTTCCTCTGAGCTAGCTGGTAAGACATTCAAGTTCATCTGATTGCGTTATGGCGATGCACTTCAGTAACTGTTGCAAGACTAAAGCCCTACGACAAAACCGGATCTCTCTTTTCCCCGCCATACAGTCGGTACACCCTGGAGAACATCAACCCTAAATGAAATATTTAACAGCCTTTCTCCCAACTAGTCCGAAAGTAGCTGTTGATGATCACAGTCTTCCGCGCGTCGTGTTTAAACAACTAATGCAGAGGTCCATTGCCGTGTATGTGGGAAACGGAAACATGCCAACTGGCTGGCTGGCCTAAGACACGGCCATAAATGTTTACACTACGGCAGAAGGACGCCTAAAGTACATTTCCCACGCAAAGTTTTTCATCCAAGAGATAAATATACCCAATTACAGTACACAGCATACCTCATGAAATATCAACCGAAATTATTAAGGGTGTCTTCGATTCGAACAAGTTACTGAAGCAAATTCGTAATATTTATTATCCTGCGGCCTCTGGCGAACAGCCTGAAGGTCACACAATTTCGCAGGGAGCGCCTTCCGACTAGCTGACTTACAGGCCCTTGACCTACTTCCCTACGCGCGTCCAAATACTGGCGGTCACTTAAACAAACCACTGCCCGGCCGATGCAGCAGGGGTCACTATACACGACAGCCCCTCGGGCAATGCAACACATACCAACCACCAACACCACTTGAACTTGCTCCACAATAATATAAAAACAGTTGCTACCTCCCTCTCATACACTCTCAGGCCTGGCTGGACGCATTTAACACTAGCCCTGGCTTCGCCAGTGGCCTCTACTGCCTGGGACAGCAACTGTGGGCTCTGTACACAATAAATCCCTCTCACTGGTACCTTCAGCCTCTTACCCACAACTTTGGATTTGGCCTGATGACTGTATTTCCACTACTTAGCCACTACAGGCCTAATCCCAGCATATTTCATTCACATCGGAATGCCGGATTTTGTGCGAGTTTCTTTCCAATCACCTGCACATAAAATACCCCATAAGAAAACAGCTACTTGCTTAGTATGCATTTTTTCCAAAAGATTGTCAATGCCACTAGAAGTTTAAATATGTTGCATAGAAAACCTATATAGAACCATTCTTTATTGTAGTCGTTTGGTAGTAAGTGTATACTGAAAAAAGCACATTTTACGGCTTTAAAAGAGTTTATTTTTTTAGAACATTTACCAAAGTTACTTAGAGAGCATACAACATGGTCCACATTTAAAGCAAAAGGTTATGAGCACTGTGTGACGCTTTCCCCGTACGATAGAAGAATTTATGATATTTCTTGGGCAGAATTTATACAGTGTGTAGGTTGGAAACTCTAAGTGCATGCGCAATGACAGATTAAAGACATAATTAATCGGAAAAAAAGGAAACACTTTTTTTCAAAAACCGCAGGATGCACTTTCTCTAATCATACAATTTGAAGGAGGCGTAGGTTACTACTAAAGGGCTATAAGAAAGGATATGCTTGTGCATTTTTTTGCTAGAAAACATTTTTATACTTCTAATGGTATTGAAGATCGTCTGGGAAAAACCATAATAATTACCGTATTTTGCGTACTTAAAAGTCTCTAACTTTCTCAAAAAACGACAGTGCACCTTATATATCGAATAATTCTGGTTTCTTGTACTTT